GCCTCACAGCAGTGCGGACAGCTTCATAACATTTCAGAGCAGCTTCACAGAGGATCAAAGGGGATCACAGCAGTGCGGGAAGCTTTAAACATCTTGGAGCAGCTTCACAGCAGATAAAAGGCACTTCACAGCAGTGTACAAAGCTTCAAAAAATTAACAAATTGGAAATACAAAGAGCAGAAAAAGCACAATAGGAAACAAACACAAGTCAAGAATCTAAAACCTCATTGAATTGCCATATGTGGAGACAATTATATTCTACTTAATGATCTAATCCCAATTCAAGATAAAAAGCAAGCAACCCACACACACATGACATCCAAAACCAAAAGTACCAAAAAAATGATGAATCCTACAATCACGTTCAGGTGAAGTTTTCAAGTGACTGGTGTTTTTTTCTTTTGCTTTTTCTCTTGAACAGTTTGATCACCATCAGCCAAAGCCTTGAGCCTATGCATAAGATTGTTGTTTCCCTGTGACCCTGTGTGAACTTCCTTCAATTGATTAATCTGAGTAGCTTGAGCATGAGATGAAACACCTGTAATTTGTTTATGTGTAGGCTGACTATTGTTGTTGATATTGTTGTTGTGGATTTGATCTGCAAGCCCGGATTACTTTTAAGATGGACTAGCACATCAGCGGCAAGCCGTTGCGTTCACACTGCAAAAATAATGTATTTTTCCAAGGTGAAAAATGATTGACATTAATGCACAAAATGATTAATAATGCAGAATTAATGCACAAAAATGCAGAATTAATGCCAAACTAATGCATTTTTAATCATTTTGTGAAATAAATGTAATCATTTTTAACCTTGGAAAAGTACATTATATTCGCAGTGTCAAAGGCTTGAAGCACAGAGACATGTCAATACTGTTATAATCCTCATACTGGATTATGCTTATTTTGAGTAGAAGCTGCCCTTCTAGATTCTAGAGCTCAACATGTTGTATTGCTTTTCCTCATTCTTCAATCTAAGTTATACTATAAGATACTCTCTGATCTCTTATACTCCAAGCTCATAACAAATACTAAGCTCCCTAATTCTTACTATTCACTCATTTCTCAAAGGAATCATTTTTTTTCTCTGTTGGAAATTTGAAAGATGACATGCAGATGTCTTTTCCACCTGTTTGCCAAAAATTACATCATATAGAATTTCTTCTTCAAGACAGTGAAGTCTCAGAAATGATTTTGAAGCTGACTGAGATAGTCAAGAATCTCAAAAGTGGGGCCAAACAAAAGACCAAGATGGCATCAAACATTCTTCCATGTTGACTCTCCACACGGCTTGCCTGATCTTCTTCCTCACTATAATTTTTGGTATTCAGAAAAAAACACAAACATGTGACATTCTTTTCCTGATATAGAGGTTTGTTTGATTGGGTAATTTTTATTAGTTTTCTGAGAAAAAAGAATGGTTTTTCATGAACCCAATTGGGCAAAAGTGAAATTTACAGGCAATAAGCAACTGAAAGCAATGATGTATTTGGGTTTGTAAATGCACATTCAGATCTTGGGGATCAAAATGGTATCATAGATTCCTGCAAATGGGTTTTCCAGGTGTGGATTGACTGATTTATTGGAAGTTTTCATTGGATGGCTCGAGTGGAGCTATCCAGGGGCCTGTTCAATGCATCTGATTATCTGATGCTTTCTCTGACTCGTGTTACCGTTAACTTGTTTAATCTCTAACCCTTGTACCTTTAACTCCTCCATCCCGAGAACATGAGCGACCTGCTCTTTAAAACACCTTTCCTTGGTTGGTACTACCCAATCCCATAGCTATCATTTGTGTTATCTCGTTGAAATGTCATCATAGCATGGAAGATGAGCAATTTAAACCACTTTCACAAGGGAAAATAGACTGGTTTTGACAGCGGCGCCATAGGATGTTCACAAATGATCTGAAATATCAACAGAACTATGTGAGGCTTGACAATGAAGAACCATTTTTTTATTGATCAAACTGTGCACAACGCATCAAAGGAAGAATCAACCACTTTGGAAATGAAAACCTGAAATAACCTGTAAATTGAGTACCATAACAACAAAATAGTAATAGGTATTTGCGCCTAGTCTCTATTATTCACAATAAGCTTGTAGAGAAATCAAATGTGCATTCCATTGTGAACTACCTGATGTTCAGATGATAGAACAATATGAAAGGCCAAGATAATGAAAGATACATGACTGATATGGTGTACATGACCAAGTTGCAAACAATAGGTAAGTAAGAGACGTACATTAATCAAGTGATATACAATGATCATTAGAAGTTAAAGGTCAACCATGAATTGGTGTATCCAACTATTCACTACCGTGATGGAACTATCCTACTGCATCTCATTAACCTACTTTATCTTAATTTGTCAATCTCCCATAAACAAACGGCTTCCATTTATCATTTTCCACTAATGCCTGACCCAGAAGGTCAAGGCCCCCTGTGGTGTAACCACCCTACACAAATTTATCCAATTTACCTCCCTGGTGTTCTTCAATAATTGGCTGCTGTAAAACCATTGCCTTGTAAAAGAACTTCAGATTGATCATCATGCTGTTATTCATTTATATCATTTATAGAGATTGACCAAGGATACAATACCATCAAATTGCAAACACATTAGCCAAACTACTGCCTCCCAAGTCATACCCAATACCTCACAAGAGAGCTTGAGTAGTATCAAAAACGCAATTCATATGTATGTCTTGCTCAATCTATAAACGTAATACCTGATTGAAGTTGAATGCTAACAAAGCTTGAACGTGCGCTATCCGGTTATCATAACAGCCAACCTGATCCCTCAATACCTGTAGTTCTCTCGGCCAGCCAAAATTCACATGTTACCGCGCAAACTCCATCCCAAAATAGTTGTGGCACCCTGGAAAGCGGTTCCCCAATGATTCTGTCAAACAAGTGGCTCCATTCTGACATTCGTTCAAGGAGATAAAACTGAAACCAACCTGTGAAAACAGTCATCGCAAGGCCATAAATCCGACTGGTCAGAACTCACAAGTAGCTAGCTATACCAACTTACTCCAGGAGCAGTGGTTTGGATTAGCTCATTGTCCGGTTGTTTACATTGATCGATCAATTTGAAGGCAAAGGAACCAATCTGAACGTACCTTTGATCAATTTTTTGATCTTCAAACATTCTCAAGTTGTTTTTGACCTAAATCTGAGTGTTTCAATCCAAGTAAGCTTTTTACTCAGTTAGTTGGATAGGTTGGCTCATTGCATAGAAAATACTAATAAACACTGAAAGGTCTCGATTGTCTCTTTTTATGTTGCTTTTCTTGAATGGCATCTGATCCATCAACAGGTGAATCAACCAAATCATCAATTTTAGAACATGATTGAGTTGCTTTTAGATTTTGAGCAAGGGGTTTGACTTCCAAAGTACAGGTCAACTTAATACAGTCATTGTTTCAATTAGTTGATTGCAAAAGATTAATTGAGTTAGCTTTTTATGATCTTTGACTTGAAATCACATTGTATTGATTGATTTCAAGGCAAGAAGAGACCATTTGGATCCATTGATTTCAAGGCAAAAAGAAATCATTCGGATTGTTTTCTTTTTCCCCAAGTGATACTTCAGTCCAGAAAGTAATTGATTTCCTAGCTCACACATGTAAGCTCTTTGAATCAAATTGGTACCCCGCCCTTCTAATTTTTCAAGCTTTCACCAGTTTGATATTTGAGAAGACTGACCAAGAAAATCTTTTATTTTCTTTTGATTTGATTGGGCTCTTGATTGAATGCTCCGTTGAAATCACTCAATGTCAATGCAATAATCATTTGGTTGATCCACATATTCATCCACATATACACTTCTCATTGTATCTATGTCAACCTGAGAGGCTTTTGCGGAGCAAAACCTCCAAGGTATGCACAAAACACCTAAACACCTAACAAAACCAATAACAATAATTACAACTCTATCACTCAGTTTCAAGAGTGTAAAAAGAATAACTCGTCCAGACAATAACATACTTCTATCTCTTACCAAGGGTCCAGACAACATTACCCTGGCCAGGAAGTTCCTTTTTTTATCAAACACATGAAGTCATTTTAAAAATAACTAGAACCCGTACCAGAACAAAACCACTCTGGTACAAATTCGACAATTATATATTAAAAACCCTACTCAGGAATTAGTACCCAAAACAACCTGACCAGGCAAGAGAAACAGGGAAGGGCTGCTTTCTTACAAACCAGTAACAGAACCTGATCAGCTTACCACGGCTCTATGATAACAAAGCAGGGTTTTGATGACATCACTAAGTAAGTTCATGTATTTGTTATATAAAGACCTCGTACCATCTAAGAGTAAAAAGAATCATCCTTACGACTAACCTTTACTATAAAAAACCCACCTTTTTTCTTAAAAACTCTTTTTCTTTTCGAAAAGCTTTTTAAACAAACCCATTTTCTTTGGCCCTTACTCTCTGCAGCCCACACAAAATCCATGTAGGCGCTGCCAAAACAGCGCCTACATGAAGGTTTCCCTCAAAAAAGCGCCTACAGGCTGAAAAACCAATGTAGGCGTCATTTGTGTACGCCTACATTCTAAAAATAAAATGTAGGCGTAAATTTGAAGTGCCTACATTGTGTAGGCATCACAAAAATGCGCCTACATCTTTTTTTTTGACTGTGGGCGTAACTGTAGGCGTAATTTTTGTGGCCCCTACATATTTTAATACCAAAACCCTTATAATTTAATTCCAACACCCTTATAATTGATTATAAGACCCTTGTAATTTTATAATCAAATGTGCACTCTTACATTTAATACCCTTATCATTTAATACCAACACCCTTATAATTAATCTCACCACCCTTATAATTTAATACCAACACCCTTATATATTAATACCAGCAGCCTTACAGATTTGTATTCACACGTCTATAAGACCCTTATAACTAACTTAAGCGCCTACATGGAAAAAACAATGTAGGCGCTCAAAAAAAGCGCCTACATTTTATTTTTAGAATGTAGGCGCTTGAAAATAGCGCCAACATTTTATTTTTAGAATGTAGGCGTACACAAACGTGGGATGGGTCGGTGACGCGTTGACAGGGTACGGGATCGGCGTGATTGTGGGAAAGTTCTGGACACAGCTGAAGTTCAAACAGGGCTGGAACAAGAAGGACAAAGAAGGCGTGAAGAGGGGGATAGCTTGGGCGGAGACAGTGGCAGTGAGGGTCGGTTTAGAGATGGTGGCGATGTTGTACAAAACGAAAGGGAAGAGATACCTGGCAGTGACGGATAACACAGGGACAGAAGCAGTTATTAGAAACTTGAAGTCACAAGATAGATCCGTAAACGGTGAATGGAAAAAGCTTCAAAAACGTCTTACGTACCTGGGGGGTGAGCTAGAGGAGAAACGTGTTGCATCGGGCGATAACAATGCGGACGAGCTGTCCAGAGGCGAGAGGGGAAACAAAAGCATCTTCTTCTACCTGGAACCGGAACTACCGATCGTATCTGTCATTCTTGTCATTCTACGAGCGTGCCAATTTGATTGGTTCAGGAATCAGATGCATCATGAGTTGTACATCTCTTGATCTACATATCTCTATTGCTAGAAGACTCTCGGAATGAATCCAAAGCATATTTTTTATCAACAAACAAACACCCAGCGATCTGGTGTCTTTCCAACTCAATCATCAATCTTAACTATGTATGAGGTTATGACACTCCATATGTAGTGCTTTCATGGAGCATCTATTCCTGCTAGTCCTTGCTAGTCTTTCTTGCTGCACTCAATAAATCATTGTGTACAGTCTTGCTTTGTCATACCTTAGAAGATAGTCAAAGAATACCAGAACGGATGACATTACGCTGGAAAGCTTTTGGACAAGCAAAATCCAAAATAAATTTTGGTTTTGATTTGATTGCGTTTCGAATTGCGGTTTGTCAATTGCGGTTGGTTTCGTTTTGGTAGGGTTGCAATGCAGCGAAATATACCAAGATTTTGGTGTGTTTCGTTGTGAATTGGGTGTTGATGCAATCTTGAAACTTCCCAATCTTCTTATTGATATCATTTAACTCTTGAAGCTGTGGAGTTTAACGTACTGTAGTCAATGGAGTGAGAGACTAAAGGGGTGTTGATTTTGGAAGGGTTTTGGATTGAATAAATCGTTGAGTATTGAGTGATGTGGTTTAATGAATAGTGTGTGGTTGACAATAGTGGAATGTTGGCTGACCCAGCTCCAGTAGCTGGGAGTGTAGTTGAAAAAAACCCTGACACCAAATTCGGAGCAAAAGACACTGCGCACGTGGTTTTGACTATCCAGGTAGTTAAACGGCAGCGCCTGGCGCTGCGCGTTTTTTTCTACACTGCGAGGTAGGCTTGATTAGACTGGAATTTGGTTCAACACCTATTTCTACTTGAATTCCTTTTGTCTTACTTCTTTTTCTCTTTTTCTTTTCTTTGAAGAAGTCTTCTTCTTGCTCTTGCTTAATTTGGATGGTTCTACCTTTGCCACCTTTTTGAGTTTCTTAATCTGGCTTTTTGCATTCGCTAGTTCTTTTCTCAGTTGCAGCTTTCTTTTTTGTTTTCAATCTGTAATCAATCAAACAGAGTTTCAGCAATTTTGTTTGTGTTCTTTAAATGTTATTTCCGACTCTGATGTATATGATTTTTGTAGATTATTAACGCCGGTGGACCTCTTACTGTCTTGCAGGTATTTGATCATCTGTGCCTTGTAGGCTGGCCATGTAGGCATAGTTTTCATAAACCTCTCTTCCCGTTTAACGGGGTGCTCTACCTTTGGGACCCAAGGTCTTTTGATTGTATAGGATTTGGGAGTGTTTGAATGAATACAGGAAGGGGTTCTTTTATTGGGTGTGAAGGAATGAAGGAGAAATTTAAAAAAGGAATGAAAGGGTTGTTGGAAAGAGGTAAAGGAATGAGAGTGTTGTGTGGAAGAAGACTGAGGTATGGAAGGTTTGGAAGAGAGGTACTGTAGTATTTTGAAGTTCCTGATAGTTTCTTTTTCATAAACTCAAATTGCTCTTACCTTTCTTTGACTTCTTTCCCGAATTGTCTGATTTGTCTTCCAACTCTGAACTTTCATTGCTACTTTCTGAGTCTGATTCTGAAGTTGAAGAGGAATTGTCTGTATCTTCACCACTTTCTCCTCTGCTGTTTGAAGATCCTAAGGAAGGTGAGGAGTGTCTTTGCTTCTTCTGTTCTTGTCTTGAGGTAAGTTCTTCCTCCGGGTTTTCTGAGACGTTATCACCGTTTGAGTTCTCTTCCTTGCCTTCTGACAATGAACCTGCATCTAAGAATTTGTTTGGGAATTCATCTACATCTGAAGAAGAGTTCTGAGTGCTTTCCTTAGGAATTCAAACTTGCGTATTTGGTATTACAACTGATGGAAACGGTAATGGAACATGTCCAATGTAGGTTTGTGGTGGTTTGCCGTGACTTTTGGTTTGCAGATAGGGTTTGAGCTGTATTGGTTAGGGAATTTACTGGCTCTACTCTGTTGATATCTTCATAGTTCAGTACTTGGCCTTCTTCTGTCAAGGTTCCCGTCAATCTTACTCCCAATGGGCTTGCTTCTTGATTGTTGATGTTGTTCATTTCTACCATTTGTTCTTCATCTGTGTCTAAACCTTGCACTCTTATACTAGCTCTGATTGCTCTTGATGCTGCTGTCTTGTTTCTTTGTCCGTTATTTATCATATGTACTGCTTGTGTCAATTCTAGCTATTTCACTTTGGGTAGTAGGACGATTTTGAACCAACAATGATGACTCTTGGAATTTTTAAATAGGTGGATAGAGGAATTAAAGAAACTAGTGAAATGGCCAGTAATAACTGAGTGGTGAAAGGGAATAGATAATTAGATAAGTGTTTATTTATGATTATGATTTTTTGGGATTTTTAGTTTTCTAGGAATTGAAATGATTTTTGATTAATAGTTTGATGCTGCAATTAATTAGTTTATAAATAATTGTTAGTTAATAATTTGATGCTGTAATTGATAAGTTTTATTGATAATAATAAGGATTTGAAAAGATAGATAGTATGATGAGATTTACTAGATGGAATCCTTTCAGAGTGTGAGGGAATCTGTGGCAGCGCAGAGCTAGAGTCATCTCCTTTGTATACAGTTACGACTCTTTTCCGTCAGTGCGCTGAAGTGCCCAGAGTCATTTGACATGACTCTTCTGGCACTACCTTCTCACATCTATTTCCCGTTCGGTCATACTCTCTACACAAAGTGACTTGTGTCATGGACTAGCCTTGCATTTTGTGCCTCGGGCAAGGAGCAAACCATTTGCAAAAAGACCAACACAACAATCTAAAAGTCTACATATACCCACAACTGCAAAAAAGTCCTTCACCAAGAGTTGCCATGTACAAGGTCATACAAGTTTGAAAAATCAATGCAATTTCCTCATCGTCATCTAAGGCATTGTGAAGTACTCTAGACCTTCTCAAACATGCCTTGAGGATGGAGAACACTTTCTCAATAGGGTTGAGGTCCGGGAGGTAAGCCGGGAGGTATACCAAATGCACACCTCAAGCCTCTCAGAGCTCAGCCACACAACCGTTGTGGTGAATTGGTGCCAATCCCTGACTCCCAGCGCAGTACACTGCGCAAAAACTGTGGGTGCGCTGGGGCCCAGCGCACTGGAAACTGGGGAGAAGGGCACTGCGCCAGCGCGCACCTCCGGGACTTCGAGCTTTCTTAGTCACTGTGCAAAGTCGCAGTGCAGCCCAGCACAGGGTGCGCAGGCTGCGCGACCCTGCGCCGTATATGCGAAGGCTCAACCAATCGGATATGAGGGCAAGGGGGTATACCCCTTGCGTACCAATCTGATCTCAACCTACTGGACTTGATTCGATCATCTTGACGCATTCCCAAAATCACAATTATCGATGGACTTCCGAATCTGCTTCTTGAAGCCACGGTGGCCTTTGCTAATGCCATCAACGGCGTACTCGGTGAATAACAAATCTAGTTACTCGGACTGCAAGACTTTGGCGTATTTCCACAATAACCATCACATCAGACTCAGTCCATTCTTATTTGCTATATATAACCATCACATCAGACTCAGTCCATTCTTATTTGTTATATTCAATTTACAACATCTTCAAGTTCAAGTTCAACTTCCACCTTTATTTAAATCTATAAGCTATCACTTTCCCAATTTAACTTCCCATCTCCTTAAGTCTTTAAAGCTCTTCGTATCGTATTCAGTCAAAGAAACTATAATGCCAAAATCATCCAATTCTCAGTTAAAATTACGCTCTTCAGCTACCACTGCCCAGGCTTCCAAGTCTCGTCGAGATACTACTCAGACAGTCATTGTTGATTCTGATCAAGACACCGGTAAAGAGGATGATCACAACTATATCACTGAAGGGGGAAAAAGCGGTGATGAAAACGAGAAGAACAATGGTTCATTCAAAAGCAATGCCTCTCCTACCGATGGAAAGCGCAATCAAAAATCTTCAAAGAAGAGAGTGAAGCGTAAGAAGCAGGTAATTTTTTTAACAGATTACTTTTGTTTTATTTTCTTTCTAAAGATTATGTGTTTTATTCTTATGTCTTTACACTACAAGAAACATAACATTTTCTGGGCAGAAAATTAAATTATTTGTATACAAAAATCTGGAAAGGTCAGAAACAGAGCAAAAAATATGAAAAAATATGCATTCTGTTCCTTGGTTTGAGATCTCCAATCTGCATATTTTTCCGTATTTTTGGGGTTCATATTGGTGAGTGTACTAACAATAAACCCTCATAATCACCAGATTACCACCTGTAACAGATGCTGGAATTTGGCTGATCAGTGCTGAGAGAAAATTTTGATTACTACAAAACCCCATAACTTTGTCAATTCTGGCTCAAAACACTCGATTTTGAGTGCATTGGCAAGCTGGTATTTGCCTGAAGATAGTTCATAAATGAACCAAATACGTGGCGGGCCTGCAAAAAAAGATATCCCCAATGAAATCAAATTTCACATATCATCGAATAGAATGTCAGCCATTGGGATTACACATTTTGAGTCAAAACAAAAGTTGTAGTTCAGGAATTCAGCTTTCTAATGCACCCAAAATCGAGTGTTTTGAGCCTATACGCCG